ACAAAATCGTCCCATTTGCAACAACATGGATGGACCTGGAGGGTATTATGTTAAGTGAAATAAGCCAGAAAGAGAAAGACAAACAGGGCATGATTTCACTCATATGTGGAAGATAAACCAACACACGCACAGACAGAACTGTTTGGTGGTTACCAGGGGCTAGGGGGGAGGGGGGTGGGCACAAGGGGTGGAGGGATGCACTTACCTTATATGGTGACTGATAAACAATAATGTACAACAAAAATTTCACAATAAAAAAAAATTTTTTAAAAAACTGCAAAAAAAAAAAAGAAAATAGGAATTCAAGGCAGTATAGTTTTAGGAGACATACTTTTTCTCTAGAAATAAATGCCTCTGTGTATCCTTACAGCTATGGACCTGAGGTGCATTTCTTAAGTATCCTGGGATAAAAAATGACGAATTCAAGGGAATTTCGCTTTTTTCTGTTTGTTAAATAATCCTTTCCTATTTTCTTTCCCCTAATGTTTTGCTACTATTAACTATCGGCAGGATTCCTATAAGTGTATTACACTATCAGAAGCAGAATGGGCCAAATACAGTCTAATTTTTTTTTTTTGGTGAGGAAGATTAGCCCTAAGCTAACATCTGTTGCCAATCCTCCTCTTTTTGCTGAGGAAGATTGGCCCAGGGCTAACATCCATGCCCATCTTCCTCTACTTTATATGTGGAACTCCTGCCACAGCCTGGCTTGATAAGCAGTGCGTAGGTCCACGCCTGGGATCCAAATCTGCAAACCCCAGGCCGCCGAAGCAGGGTGCGCGAACTTAACCACTACACCACTGTGCTGGCCACCCAGTCTCACTTTTTAAGTCTCACTGTGCACTCAATATACATTTATGGAGAATCTCGAAGTATAAGCTGATGTAGAAAGACTGGTGGGGGAAAAGGATACTATCTCTATTCTGAAGGAGCTTACATTCTTGTAAAAATCTATGGTAAAAAATCCACGCTATTTCTCAATTTTTTTTTAACCTATAGAAACTCTACTCTCTGTTGAAATCCCATATCAAAAGTAGTTACCTCTTCTGTGAAAACGTCCTTTACTTCCAACTTCATTATAAATACCCTTCTCTCCTCAGAGTTTCACTGGTACTTGGTTCAGACCATCAATATAGCATGTACTGCTAGTTATGTCTACTTCCTTTATTAGATTATGAGCTATTTGAAGGCAAGCATCATGCTGTACGTACTACTGAAATGCCAATGTTTAGATTAGTGGCAAACACAAAAAGGCCTCGATAAGCATCTGATGGATGCTGAACAAATGTCATGAAAAAGTGAAAACAGCATTGATCTCTATAAACCAGAACAGTGCTGCTCTACAAAAGTAATCCAAATAGCTTATTATTAGTAACCTAAGGTAAGGATCACATCATCAGCATGGTTTTTTATAATGCCTAGTATACTATTAAAAACTCAGAATTATAAACATCAAGATGATGAGGATGATCACTCATCATTAGTTTTACACGTAAAGGCTTTGGCAGCCAGAGTCCAACTTCTCTCAATGTCATGGTGTTCTTTTTGAAATAAGAATAGAGCTAAGGAACTTTGTGAAAGATTAAGTTCTGGACCTCAGCACTGTCACTTACTTCAGTATGCATTTCAGTATCTAAGATAAACTTGGTCACAAGCCCACAATGCAGAATAGAGAAGACTTCAATATCCAGCTCTCGGAAAAAAGCTCGGTAGTTCTGTAGTGACACTGATGTCTTTTCTTCTTTCCTTTTGAACTCCTGTGGAGAAAGTAGCAGCAATGAACAAAATAATTAAGGCTTCTATACAAATCTAATCTTTTTTTTTTTTTTGTGAGGCAGATCAGCCCTGAGCCAACATCCATGCTAATCTTCCTCTTTTTGCTGAGGAAGACCGGCTCTGAGCTAACATCTATTGCCAATCCTCCTCCTTTTTTTTTCCCCAAAGCCCCTGAAGATAGTTGTATGTCATACTCGCACATCCTTCCAGTTGCTCTATGTGGGACGTGGCCTCAGCATGGCCGGAGAAGCGGTGTGTCGGTGCGCGCCCGGGATCTGAACCTGGGCTGCCAGTAGCGGAGCACGCACACTTAACTGCTAAACCATGGGGTCAGCCCACAAATCTAATCTTTAATGTAGATTTCAAAGTGCCATTATGCATTCATTTTATGCAAAAAGTTACATTTTCATCACATCACTGACTTTCTTTCACTAAAGTCCCTAAATATTCCAGAGACCTCATTTAATATGGAATATAGGTCACACATCAAGACCCTTGGTAGGTTTCCAATGGATGAACTATTAGACAAATCAAGGCATTATGGTGTGCTACAGAAAACTACGAGCTTAGAAAGATCTGGCTTCAAATCCTTGTTCAACCACTTATTAACTGTGTGACCTTGGGCAAGTCACTCACCCTCTCTGGATCTCACGGTCTTCATCCATTAAATGTGGATATTAATACTAACTTTGGATTTTTAGGAGGATTAGAGGAGTTATACATAATAAATACCCAACAAACAGTACCTAAAAAACAGAAATAATTAGGATCCATGTGGTTCAGGCAATTTCACACACACATGAAACCTACTCTGTGAGTGGTACAGAGTTACAGGAAAAGGGACCTGCTGTTTACTAATGACCACAAACTGTACTAAGCATTTCATGTTATCTCGATTCATCAAGAAGTCGATAATCTGGGATTGGAAGGGGAAAGAGGCTAGAAGAAGTATATCCACATCTACGTTCTAAGCGGAATTTGACAATTGCCACAAGAGAGAATTCAAAGTACTGCTGGCATGCAAAAAAAGGGAGTAAAATACTCAAGAAAATAACTGGAAAAACAGTGTGGCAGTGATAAGGCCTTGGAGTCTAACTAACCCTAACTCTGCTACTGAGAGGCCACTCCAAGGCCTAGGGGAGTTCGCTTGCCTCTCCTTATCTAATTCTTCTCTCTGTAAAATGCAGAGAACAATGCTGGCCCTTTGTTAATCTCACCGGGCTGTCACACACCTTCACGGACACCCGTCATTCCAATACCTTTTCCAGCTGGCTTCTATCAGACGGTGTAGCGTCACCTTCCGAACTACCCTCCTTTGAAAGTGTGTCAAGGGAGGATGTTTTTCTGCCATCTGCTTTTCGGTTCCTTCCTCCTTATGTTAAAAAGAGAAGAGTGACTCAAAAAATCAATAATCATGTTTGCTAAATATCACTGCCTTAAGGAAACAACCTGCTAAAGATTACCTGGAGGCAGAGGAGGCAATTTTATAACTGTGTAAAAGAAAGGGTTCAATTATATAATCTCTCCAATTACTGATGCTTTGATGCATATGATCTCTTTGGTTAATTCAATGCAGCTCATATGGAGACACAGAATAAGAAGAAAAGAACATACCTATCTTTCCCTGTTTTCTGATTTTTGCTGAAACAGCAGTACTAGCATGAGGTGTTATATCTAAAGTTTCCAAGTCAAAGTTTGTAAGGGTAGGAACATAGTCTGGGGTGACTGAAACAGAAAACAGAGAATAGATAAAAGCTCAACGTATACCAACCATATACCACCGTTAGACTTGGAATACAATCATCTGATTGGTTACAAACTGGTTTCTAGAACTACCGAGCATGGCTGAATGCCTGTAGGATGCATTCAAGTCACCTGACATTAATTGTTTTGGCATAGCAAAATGGACAGAGACATCTTATAGAAATATCATATTGATTATGATCAATTAACATAAAACCATTCTAAATAATGATATAAAATAACCAAGCAGATAAGGACTAAATATAAACTAAGATTTAAAATCTGAAAATATTAACAATAGTTGGTCACACAGAAGTTTGTTTTATACACAATTATTTAGATGAGGGCCTGAGGGAGGCTCCATGTTTTCCCCAGAGAATTAAGTGAGCACTTTAAAATGACAAGTCTACTTAATGGTCAGAAAGTATTAAGAGGCCTTTCAGCTTTACTCCTGGTTCATACTATGTTCAGGTAGGCAAATGGCAGTGGGAGTTTGATCTCCCAAGAAGCAAAGTAACTTTACAAAAGCCCAGTCAATGTTTTATATTTTTTATTTTCTTCAGCAGCAAGATCTCTGGGAGGTAACAATGGGAGGAAAATGGACATACTCATTTAAAAAAAATTTTGTTGAGCATATATTTTCTTGTCCCAGATGAGTAGGGGACAGCTATCATTGAGCCTAGCTTAAAAGCATAGTTCTTTACCTCCTCACTGTGTCCTAGCAGGGCTACCAGTATAGGACACTTCCCTTACCTGCCAGGTACTTTTCCAGGATTCTCTGTAGCTCTACAATGTGCTTTAACCGGGTGAGCACCTTCCCCTTCATCTCGGGTGACGTTTGCCGGCAGAAGGCATTTACACTCTGTAAAAGTACAAATTAAATTCTCATACTTTGAACTGTTCCGATTTTAATCCTGTTTGTATTATTCATCCAGAGCTAAAAGATGCCATTCAGTGGCAGGATCTGTGAGTTTAGTCTGTAACGTAAAAGTGTTCTCAGCAAGGTGCTGGAGAGAAAAAAAAGCCCCGGGCCAATAGAGAAGATCTGACTTTTAATCCTAGTTCTACTTATTACTAGTTAGGTAACAAGGCAGAATAGTACAGTGGCTCGAGAGCACACACTCTGGTGAAACCAGTCCTGTTCTGCTACTTACTAGCTGTGTGACCTCGGCCAAGTCATTAACCTTTCTGAGCTTTTCTTTCTTCAACTATAAAATGGGAATGCAGTTGTCATATGGATTGAATAGTGTAAATAAAGAAATTAGCCCTGCATTTGGCACAGTGTAAGTGCTTGACAAATTTTAATAACATTGAACCTTCTATACCTGCAATTCTGCATGTATAAAACAAGGATTATAATACCTGTCCTTGGGGCCGGCCCCGTGGCTTGGCGGTTAAGTGCGCGTGCTCCGCTACTGGCGGCCCGGGTTCGGATCCCGGGTGCGCACCGACACACTGCTTCTCCGGCCATGCTGAGGCCGCGTCCCACATACGGCAACTAGAAGGATGTGCAACTATGACATACAACTATCTACCGGGGCTTTGGGGAAAAAAAGGGAGGAGGATTGGCAATAGATGTTAGCTCAGAGCCGGTCTTCCTCAGCAAAAAGAGGAGGATTAGCATGGATGTTAGCTCAGGGCTGATCTTCCTCACACACAAAAAATAATAATAATAATACCTGTCCTACTTATGTCATAATATAATTGTGAGGGTAAGAAGAGATAATTTAAGTGAACAAACATTATCAGAAATAATACACATGGGAAAGGAAGTAAGGTATAGATGTAAGACATTACCATCATTTTCACTATATTGCATTATTGTGCATTTCATTAAGCACAAATACATTCTAAAGGAAGAGGAAAGCTACTATTCACTTGATCTCACTGAATTGAAACATTAAGTGCACACCTATGCAAGGAGGAACAGTATTTTCACAGTGGAGAAGGTCAAGTTATTCCAGGCAGAAGTAAGAATAAACCAGAAGGCTTGGAGACAGTAAAGCATAGGCAATATTAAGTGAATTCTAAGTATTTTGAATTGGCTACATCAGAAGGTACATATAATTGGGGAGGGGTAGGACATAACAGCTAGAGAAGCACACAGGGGTTAGTGCTTGGTGGAGACTTTTTAGGGAGTCTCATGGGAACCAAGGAAATAGTTTCCTTTTGAGAGGAACTACAGACAATAGGTGAAATGTCCTAGTAACTCTGCTCACCTCTCGGAACCAGTTGAGAGTAAGAAATATGAGTGAATACACGAACAAATACTCTTTAACAGACATGGACTCCAGCCTCTCTCAAGGCTCTAGGTCAGTGAGTAATACAGGACAATTTGAAAGAGAAGAACAAACATTTCTAACTCCCTTTAGTTCAAGTCAACAGAACCTGGATGCTGTCCCTAGAGCTAGCTCTCCTTCTACTTATTTTCCCCTTTAACTCGTATTTGAAGGTCAAGCTTTGATTAGTCTCAAAAATAATTCCATACTATGCAGCAGTCAACAAATATAATTAAGAAGTCTTTGCAACAATTATAGAGGCAAAGACCATAAAGCAACATGGAACTATGATAACAATTGATTTGTTAATATGATGGGAATCTGTATGTATTATTTTGTCTTTGGAATTCCATTATTACTGCTATGCTACTCTGTGAAGTTAGAAAATTCCTTCCCACACATACCATGTACTGGTCTGCCGCTTCCCTAAGTTTACCAAAGAAAGGATACAAAGAAGAAAGGATCTGATAACTTCATGCTATACCTATAAACCATCAAACTCCTCCAGGTTTCCATTATGTTGTCTCTCCACACAAAGTCTCAGTAACCGGAAATAGGGAGCCAGGCACAGTGGAGACACCAATCTGGGAAGGAAAAATTCATTTCTGGATCACGCTTTATAGCCATATTATAGGCACATTAGTCCATGTTTATAGGGAGCCCAAACTTATAATCAAGGAGTTTTGTCCAAAATAAATGTCTACTTTTTTGGGGGGGGTGTGTGTGGGGGAGATTGGCCCTGAGGTAACATCTGTTGACAATCTTCCTCTTTTTCTTTTTTTCTCCCCAAAGCCCCAGTACATAGTTGTATATCCTAGTTGTAGGTCCTGCTAGTTCTTCTACATGGGACGCTGCCTCAGCATGGCTTGATGAGCAGTGAGCAGGTCCGCACCCAGGATCCAAACTGGTGAACCCCAGGCTGAAGCGGAACGCACAAACTTAACTACTATGCTACCAGACCAGCCCCCTGTCTACTTTTAAGAACATATGACAAGAAACTTAATAGATGCTCAGCAAATAAATAATGGACTGAATTGGAGGAAGGTGGAGGGTGAGTAGAGTGAATGTTCATGTGTTAGGAGAAGTGGAGATAAGATGGAAGGAGGGAGAGTGGCAGAGGTAGACAAATATGTACGTGGGAGGGAGAAAGAAACAGAAACAAAAATAGCCTTGCAGAACATCTGTTGGCTGGCATGAGGCAATGCAAATCCCAACCCCAGGATCCAAGAAAAAACAAGGAATCTGCCCCATTCTCGCTAACCCCTCCAAATACCACCTGTCTTGGGAGAAATCCTTTTCAAACAAGTTCCCCACAGATTGCAAGAACTGTGGAATTCCCTGTAAATATTCAAATCACCAACACAGGTTTTAGAAAAGAAAAAGTGTACTGACTTTTGGTCTGATTCCTGTGAGGTCACTCTACCCCCATCTCTTGCAAAGTCCTGGGAGAACAACAGTGGCAAGAGGTTGATGGCGATCCCATCAAGACTATTATATTCTTCTAGTCCATAGAGAGCTTTCATGGGAAATGGACAGTCACTGTGGAGAGAACCCAGAATCTGATCCCCAACTCAAGGGTATGCAAGTCTACAGTGGAAACCACTAGAACAAACCAATCTCCTCTATTATGAGGAGAAATGAGAAACAGAAAGAACAAGTGGGGAACCTTTCAGCAATTTTCGAGCTGGGGGTGTTGGGGTTGGGAGGAAAGAAGCTGTGGAAGTAGGCTAGCCTTGGCTGAGGTCAAGGGCATTCTGATGTCTGTACCAGCTATTGACATAATTGACACAATGTCTTCACCGGTGCAATCAAGTCAGTGGGTAAACAGTACTTACCCTTCTGGAACAACACATAAGTCCACCACAAAGGCATCTTGGAAATCATTAGAGATGGTCTGCTCAACCCATTCCTGCAGGAAGTAAGCAAATAAAAAAGACTGTGTAGCCCAGGGTGTACTTGCTGTAGTGCCCTAGACAAACTATTAACTTTTCTAAGACTCAGTGTCCTCATTTCTAGAAAGGAAATACCAACAATATGAAGTAGAAAAGACATAATGCATGAAAAGTGCTTAATGCAGTGCCTGGTATAGAATAAATGCTGGCTATCAACAACAACATTATCATCATCCTCATCATTACTATTATTATTGTTATTATGTGAAGGAGGCCTGGGGCAGGGTGAGTCAGAACAGCCTTCCCAACTGGACTATGGAACAGCTCACAGGATGATCTATTTTTGCAGTGCAACAGAGAGAGGGCTTGTAGTAAAGCAGCCCTCATGCTTCATTGCTATAAGAAAAGATACTCGGCCTTACCAGGGCTTTTGGGGCCAGCTTGCCTTCTTGGATCAGGTTGGCAAATTCATCATAATAAAGTGCAGAGGCCCCAGGAGACTGCTTACGGCAGGAATGAACCAACTGCAGCAGGGAGGGCACCTGGAATAGCTGAAGAGAAAGAATGGGTCAGTTCTTAGGCTGCCAACCTTTCTTGAGCACCATTCACCCCATTCAGTAGCAAGTTTTTCTCTTTCCGATTTCACTGGCAAAGCTCTTTTTTTTTTTTCTCCCCCAAAGCCCCAGTAGATAGTTGTCTGTCATAGCTGCACATCCTTCTAGTTGCTGTATGTGGGACGCGGCCTCAGCATAGCCGGAGAAGCAGTGCGTCGGTGCACGCCTGGGATCCGAACCCAGGCCGCCAGCAGCAGAGTGCGTGCACTTAACCGCTAAGCCACCGGGCCAGCCTGGCAAAGCTCTTATTAACTCTCACCTGAGGTCTTCCTGAGCCCCCTGATCAGTCCATCTCTTTCCAATCTCATCTCCTTTCCAATCGATCAGACACATGCAGCCAGATTAATTTTTCTAAAGCAAAGCTTGGATTATGCCATTTTGTTGCTAAAAAACCCCTTAAGGACTACCTCTGCGTAAAAAATTAAATCAAAATGTCTTGATCCTCTGTTTTCTATCTCCCGAACTAGCCTTATCTCCAACTCTCCAATTACACACTTACTTGTCCCTAAGCTCCAGTCAATCTGCTATTCTTCCCACCTTTCTTGCTCTCTAGGAATTTGCAATTTAATTAGGGAGATTAGACAGATACAGAAATAAATGCAACACAAGCCAGTAGATTCTAAGTGCCACAAGGGTGGTACAAATTGCAAAAGCTACGAGTTTTGGAAAACATATTTTGAAAAACAAAGCACTCTTTCTGGTCAACTGACAGTGACCAGCAGCCACTCCTCAGTTACTCATAAGTGCACTGACCACATTACAAGAACTCACCTGTGTGCACTGTTCATTGCTCTCCCTTGGGTCAAACTGGAAGATCTACTAAAAACAAGGAATTTTAGCCTCACTTTTATAATATTTTGTAACAGCTGGCAATAAGTTTAAGAATCTTGCCTTCCCTGGGATGGAGGTGGAGATAAAAGTGCACAAAGGTACAGAGGAATATTTATTTAGGCCACACAAAATGTGGATTAGAGTAAATGATGGCTGGGCTGGCCTGGTGGCATAGCCGTTAAGTTCGCATGCTCTGCTTCAGGGGCCCAGGGTTTTCAGATTCGGATCTCGGGCATGGACCAATGCACCGCTTGTCAAACCATGCTGTGGCGGCGTCCCATATAAAGTAGAGGAAGATGGGCACGGATGTTAGCCCAGGGCCAATCTTCCTCAGCAAAAAGAGGAGGATTGGCAATGGATGTTGGCTCAGGGCTAATCTTCCTCACAAAAAAAAAGAGTAAATGATGGCTAACTTAGATTTTTTAATTAATTTATTTTTTTATTATTTTTTTGTGCACACTAAATTAGTAATAATCATAAGAGCAAGCACTGGGCATTTTTCTAACCACTTAATGCTCTCAACAACTCTATGAAGTACATACTATTATCTTTATTTCACAGATATGAGAATACAAAGTCACAGAGAGGTAAAGTAACTCGCCCAAAGTCATTCAGCTAATAAATAATGGAGCCGGTATTTGACCCAGGCAAGCAGTATGGCTCCAGAGAATGAACTCTTAATTAGTACACTATGCAGCCTCTACAGATTACTAATGCTGATTCTAAGGATGTCTCCTGAGGTCTCAGGAATTCTTCTTTTTGTTTGTTTTGTTTTTGCTGAGGAAGATTCACCTTGAGCTAACAACTGCTGCCAATCTTCCTCTTTTTGTATGTGAGCCACCACCACAGCATGGCCACTGGCAGAGGAGTGGTGTAGGTCTGCGCCTGGGTACCAAACCTGGGCCGCCAAAGCAGAGTGCACCGAACTTAACTACTAGGCCACCAGGGCTGGCCTGGTCTCAGGAATTCTTGAAAGATCATTTCTAAAGATCATGAACTGAACTCCAAAGTCATTTTGCAATGTCAACATCTTACCAAGCCCCAACTTTGATGCTTCTTTAGATGCTACAACTGTGGCATCAAAGTGCAAGTGGGAAAAAAATCCACAAGAAGACTTTATTTGTATCAAATATGATGTCCCAGACAGGAATACAGAGCAATGGAGACAGCTGTATTGTCTAGTGCCTAGGACAGAAGCAGATGCAGAAAAATGCATCCCAGGAGGATTAGGGTTCCCCCTTTGTGGAAACATTTCTAGAACTTTATTTCTTGGGAATCCCTAGTTTTTAACCATCAGACTGTAATGACAATGATCACAATTCTGTAAAAATTATATGTGGTATATACAGTCAAGATTAGAAGGAAACATGAGAAAATAGCAACAAACATGTGCTCACTTCTCTTATCGTTTCAATGTCTACTGTTATAACGATGTCTACACAATGTAACACTTTATTTTGTAAGGCAGCAACCTGATTAACTGATGTCGAGCCAGAAGTCAGAATTTCCATGCATACCTGTCTGCCGCCATGATGCCAGGCATGGTGACAGCGCCAATAATACCAACAAGCTTGTACTTGAATATGGTGCTAGACAGCTGTTTTCGTATCACCAAGTGCATGTCATCCTGCAAGGAGACAATGACAGAGAAAGATGAAGATGCTGAAATTGTATCAGAGCCAAAAAACCTAGAACAGCAAGGGTTCTATCATTTATTAACCGTGTGGCCTTTGGCAAGGCATTTCATCTCTCTGAGTCTCAATTTTTTTCATCTATAAAATGGGAAAGGTTTTGTAAGGATCAGATACAAATTACAAAAAATTCCTAGAACAGTGCCTGGCACATGGTAGACATTGAATAATAACAGCTATTATTGTTATCATTGTTACAGTTGCTCAAATTATCATAATATCATTGGCTGTTCAAATAATGAAATACAAAAAGATACTCAGGAATAAATTTAACCAAAGAGGCAATTTAACTTTCTAACTTTTAACAATTCAACTTGTACGTTAAAAACTATAAAACATTGATGAAAGAAATTAAAGAAGACCTAAATAAATGGAAAGATATCCCACGTTCATAGGTTGGAAGACATCACTATTAAGATGATAATACCATCTTAATATGCACATTCAATGTAATCCTTATTAAAATCCCAACAGCATTTTTTGCAGAAATGGAAAACCCCATATTAAAATGCATATGGAATTAGAAGGGATCCCAAATAACCAAAATTTTTTTTTTTTTTGTGAGGAAGATCAGCCCTCAGCTAACATCCATGCCAATCCTCCTCTTTTTGCTGAGGAAGACTGGCCCTGAGCTAACATCCATGCCCATCTTCCCCCAATTTATGTGGGACACCGCCACAGCGTGGCTTGACAAGCGGTGCGTTGGTGCGTGCCCAGGATCCGAACCCGGGCTGCCAGCAGCGGAGCGCACGCACTTAACCGCTACGCCACGGGGCCGGCCCTAATCAAAACTATCTTAAAAAAGAACACGAGGGCTCACACTTCTTGATTTCAAAATTATTACAAAGCTACTGTAATCAGAAAGTGTGCTACTAGCATAAGGACGGATTATATAAGGATTCTCCTTATAAGGAGAATAGAGAGTCCAGAAATAAACCCTCATATATATGGTCAACTGATTTTCCAAAGGTGCCAAGACCATTCAATGAAGAAAAGACAGTCTTTTCAACAAAAGGTGTTGAAAAAACTGGACACACACACAAAAAATGAAGTTGAACCTTTACCTTACACTATATACAAAAATTAACTCAAGTGAATCAACGATCTAAATTTAAGAGCTAAAACTATAAAACTCTTCGAAGAAAACATAGGAAAAAATCTTCATGACTTTGGATTTGGCAATGGTTTTACTTAAGTATGACACCCAAAGCACAGGCAACAAAAGAAAAAAAGAGAATAAATTGGACTTCATCAAAACTGCATCAAAGGACACTATCAAGAGGGAAAAGACAATCCACAGAATGAGAGAAAATATTTGCAAATCACGTATCTGGTAAGGGATTAATATCCAGAATTTATAAAGAACTCCTACACATCAACAACAACAAAAAACAACCCATTTAAAAAATGGGCAAAAGACTTGAATACACATTTTTCCAAAGAAGATATATGAATGACCAACAAGCACATGATAAAATGTTCAATATCATTAGTCATCAGGGAAATGCAAATCAAAACCATGAGATACTCCTTCACATCCAGTAGGATAACTGTAATTAAAAAATGGAAAATAAGTGTTGGTGAGGATGTGGAAAAATTGGAACCCACAGCTGTTCGTGGGAGTGTAAAATGGTGCAACTGCTGTGGAAAACAATTTGGTGGTTCCTCAAAATGTTAAACATAGAATCATCATGACTCAGCAATTCCACTCCTAGGTATATACTCAAAAGAATCGAAAAGAGGGACTCAAACAGATACTTGTACACCAACGTTCATAGTAGCATTATGTACAGTAGCCAAAAGGTGGAAAAAAGCCAGCATCTATTAATGGATAAATGGATAAACTAAACGTGGTATATACATGCAATTGAATATTATTATTCAGCCATAAAAAGAAATTAAGTTCTGATACATCCTACAACATGGACGAACCTTGAAGACATGCTAAGTGAAATATGCCAGACACAAAAGGACAAATATTGTATGATTCTATTTAAATGAGGTAACTTAGAATAGGCAAATTCAGAGACAGAAAGTAGATTAAAGGTTACCAGGGGCTGGTGGAAGGGAAATGCGAGTGACTGCTTAATGGGTACAGAGTTTCTGTTTGGGATGATGAAAAAGTTCTGGAAATAGATAATGGTGATGGTTGTACAACACTGTGATGTGTACTTAATGCCACTGAATTGTACACTTAAAAATGGTTAAAATAGTAAAATTTATGTTATGGATATTTTACCACAATTAAAAAATAAAATAATTTAAAGTGGTGCGGGCACTATGGAAAACAGTACGGAGATTCCTCAAAAAATTAAGAATAGAACTACACAGCTATTCCATTTCTGGATATTTATCTGAAGAACAGGAAAGGATTAATTCGAAAAGATATATGTACCTCTATGTTCATTGCAGCATTATTTACAATAGCCAAGATATGGAAACAACCTAAATGCCTACTGATGGATGAATGGATAAAGAAGACGCGGTATACCTATATACACCATGGAATACTACTCAGCCATAAAAATGATGAAATCTTGCCATGCGCGACAACACCGATGGAGCTTGAGGGTATTATGCTAAGTGAAATATTGAAAATAAAACAAAAACAAACTCACAGAAGCAGACAATAGATTGGTGGTTACCAGAGGGGAAGGGGGTTGCGGGGAGGGCAAAATGGGTAATTGTATGGTGACAGATGGAAACTAACTTTTGGCAGTGAGTATGCTGTAGTATATACAGATGTCAAATTATAATGTGGTACACCTGAAACTTATATAATGTTATAAACCAATGTTACCTCAATAAAAAAATAAAATAAAATAATGACAGCTCTATATTACTGATGAGAAGCAATCTCCAAAATATACTGCTAAACGAAAAAAGCAAGATGCAGAACAAGAAGCTAAGGGGTGGGATATAAGTAAATAGCAAATTTGTAAATGCTCAGAACATCTCAGAAAGCTATAAATTAGCAACGCTGATTGCCTTTAGAGAACCAGATGCCTAGAGGACTGAGAGGGAAGGAGACTTATTTTTCACTACCTTTCTATACCTTTCCAGTTTTGTACTGTGTGTCTATATTACCTAGCCAATTTTTTTTTTTTTTTTAATTAAAAAAGGGTGCTGGTTGTTCAAAGTTACAGTCCAGTATGGATTACTGTCACAGGGTGGCACTAAAGATACAAAAGACCCATAAACTATGATTCCAACCTAATGGCTTCTTTTATCCCTTTGCCTGGCTCTTTCAGTGAACGGCGTCACAGATGAAAGCAGGCCCAGGTGAAGTTCACGTTAGATGCAGATGTTCCCCAGGAAACAAGGGGATTCTCTGTGTCCCCACAGTCCTCAGTACAGAACCTGAATGGTTTTTCTGACTCAGTTTCATAGTTAGCTGATTACAGACCCATTTCTACCCTAATAGACTAGCCCCCTGAGGGCGGAAGGTCTATTATACCTACCATCTCAGCAGGCACATCAGGCACTTAATGTTTGTGGTAAGAAACGAATGAACAGGGGCCGGCCCCGTGGCTTAGCGGTTGGGTGCGCGTGCTCTGCTGCTGGCGGCCCGGGTTCAGATCCTGGGTGTGCACCGACACACTGCTTGTCCGGCCATGAGGCGGTGTCCCACATGCAGCAACTGGAAAGCTGTGCAACTATGACATACAACTATCTACTGGGGCCTTGGGGAGAAACAGGGAAAAAGGGGAGGAGGATTGGCAATAGATGTTGGCTCAGGGCCGGTCTTCCCCAGCAGAAAGACGAAGATTGGCATGGATGTTAATGCAGGACTAATCTTCCACACACACACAAAAAGAAAAGAATGAACAAATGCTGGGACTTCGTACAGCAATGTATTCTATTTCTACTACTCAAAGACTGGAGTGATTTTGTTCAGCAAATTTCAATTAAAGAGGTTTAAAAGATTCTTTCATGCTTCCTCTTACCTGGATGTGACTGCTGGCTTCACGTGGTTTGCTAAATGCCAGTGTGCTGAGAATATAGAAGAGTTTTCATATTTGTTGAGGGGACATGTTATCTAGATAATCTAAAATGCCCTGTGAGGGAAAAAATGCCAATGATGAGTCAACAACTAACAATTTTTCCTTTAAATCAGAAAATTAAAATCCTTGTAAGAGGCATACACACAGATAGCCAGGCATCTGTTCCATAAAAGCTCAAGGTCTCTAAAACTATGCTCAAAGCCCCAAGGATTGATACTCTCTTAGTCTTCCTAACATACCTTCAAGTTCTCCCTGTTGTCTCCACCCTTCCTTTTTCCTTAGTGAAAACAACATTCTGCCAAAAGCAATGTCTCTGACCTTATTTCTTATCACAGCATCCCTTCTCAGCTTCTACTCCATGAATTCCTTATTCATTTTCTACAGGTGTGGAAGGACTCACACGGGAACTACTTACTTTTTGACCTTGGGCAAAGCCTCAGCTTTCTCATCCCTAATATGGGGATAACATGGCCTACATAGACTTGACTATGTCAACTCCGTGTTAAAAACCTGTAAAAGCTCCTTATTGTCTATAAAATAAATTTGAACCTCTTTAACATGGTATTCGAGACCCTTTATAATCTGGCCTTGTCCTATGTCTTCCCAGCCTCACCTCCCACCACCCCTCACCATATAGCCTATTTGCCAACCATGCTAGTCTACTTGTCATCCCCGGCACACCATGGACTTGGGTGCCAATGTGCTTCCGTTCAAACTGTCCTCCACCGACATGCACTTCCCTTACCTTCTCTCATGAAATCATTCCCATCCTTCAAATCACTCAAATGTTCTCTCCTCTTTGAAGACTTCTCTAGTTTTCCAGGCCAAATTAATTATTTCTGCTCTGGTGTATCTATAGCACTTATCTTTATTACAGAATTCATCAGGTTATATTTATAGTGACCTGTTTATGTGTCTTACTTTCTATCATCAAAGGCAAGGATTGACTTTTATATTCACAGCACCCAGAATAGAGCCTGGCACATACTTACGTATAAAGTATTTGCTGAATGAATTAATACATATACATATATGAGTTATTTTTTCTATTATTTGCCTATCACCTCACTTGCTTCCCACCCCTCCTAGCAATTATAGTGTTCAATATCTAGAGTACAAAATAAATTGTTGCTAACTAACAGATATATCTCTCAGATATATGCAAGAAAGAAAAATGATTCACTATGTGTCAATGGAAAGACTAGATACCTTCACAAAGACAGCATTCAGCCTCATAGCAGATAGGTTTAGAGCTACCAACTCTAGGAGGATATCCAGGGCAGTGTCAACTTCAGCTTCATTCCCGCTGCAGATATGGGTCACCAGGGCACCAACCACTTCCTATACAGAGAAGAGTCAATAAGACAGTGTGAAGCAAAAATATGGTATGGCCATCTTAAAGGGGCTCATGCCTGAGGTCATTCTAATCAACCTGGTTAAAATCCCAACTAGCCCTATCCCATTGTCTAATTCTGTTATCTAGTTTTCATTAATGCTGGATTCAAGAGGCTTAGGATTACGCCAATCTAACTACACTACCATCCAGTCTTGACTTATTTCCCATGATTTTTCAGTGAGCACTATCTAAGCCCTCCTGATTTTGCTCCTTGGTGTAGTCTAGTCTTTCTCTTTCTTTTTCTCATATGGGTTAAATATTACCCTTTAAGTTGTGGTTGAACTTAATCTGCTGAAATTTATTGAAAAGATGGCACTTAAGGAGCTAAAGGTTTTAAAGGGTTTTATAGGTTAGACTTGCATGTTTCAAGCAAACATAAGTCATGATAGTGTCTTTAAGACATTAAGATGGTTCCAAAAAAAGTCTTAGATGCCATTGCCCTTTCCTTCATATTGCTCTCCATACCAAGTCATAGGGTCTTCTCAATTGCAGTAGCTAGCTCATACCAGCTGAATCTATTGCTCTGCTTTAAATTTTTTAAATTTTGTCTTCATTTTTATAAGTTCCATTCAAATGCATTTTACCATTATTAATAACAGGTATAGCACATATAACAAATACAAAATAAGACACTTTATTCTTTGTTTTCATAATCACTTTCCACCAGTACAGCCCTCCCTCTCTGGAAGTGTTATTAAACTTTGTGTCTCACATTCATGGGAATAAGGTTAGGCCCTCAGGCATTTCTCCTTTATCTGTTTTTCACCACACCTTTTTCTAAAGAAAACTCTAGGATCAACTGGCAGTTGATTATTTGCAGCTGAATTTTCTTTTTTTTTTTGTGAGGAAGATCAGCCCTGTGCTAACATCTGCCAATCCTCCTCTTTTTTTCGCTGAGGAAGACTGGCCCTGGGCTAACATCTGTGCCCATCTTCCTCCACTTTATATGGGATGCCGCCACAGCAATGGCTTGCCAAGTGGTGCGATGGTGCACGCCCAGGATCCGAACCGGCGAACCCCAGGCTGCCGCAGCGGAGCGTGTGCACTTAACCACTTGCGCCCCCGGGCCTGCCTCTGCAGCTGAATTTTAAAACTGCCATTCCTGTACTGTGAAAACTGCCTGATAACCCCAGCCCTTTAAGCCAAAGTTTATTTGAAGAAGACTGGATCCAGACCTGTTTTAGACTCAGAATTTTAGAGCTCAAAACACAGAGTTAGATCCTCCACTCCAACCTCTTCATTTTATTGAGACTAGGCCTAGAGCTAAGCTTTGCCAACTCCCAGTTCAGAGTTCTTTCTCCTTCAACAAGAAATAAACCAACAATAAATAAACATCAGATCACATCAAGCCACTCGGAATTGCATTTCTTTTCTTCTCCATGTTCCCTCCTTTCCAAAATAAATATTTCAACATACCTGCTGACAGTGTGTCAAAAAACTTAAATGCATATTTGTACAAGAGACTGCCAAACAAAACTATACTCTGATCTAGGGAGTGCAGGAAACTCTGAGCCAGTGACAGAATGGACAGAAAAACATCCTTAAGAACCTTGATGGGGGAAGAGGAGAGAGAAAAGCTGTGGGAAAAACTTAGTTATTACAGCACCCAGAGTTGCTAACCCTTTTGGAATGTGGGAGTTCTCCTCATCAACTTTCATTTTAACTTAAGGAACCTTAATCTTTGTTTTACTCAGAATAATCCTTCATCATTCTGAGTTTTCTCTCAGGATCAATGGAATTCAATATATGGACAATAATTGACAATGAAGCTCGAAGAAGTTAAATTACAAGCCTAATATTGGCACTGTTCCTATCTGCCCAATTTGGGACTAGACTCCAGATCTTCTAAATCTGAGTTTCCTAATCATATTGCCTCCCTGGGGATACACTAGGCCTTCTCTGCCTTGGTTATGATTTGAAATCAGTCTATAAGGTTCAATGCTAATTACACTGATTTCTTTTACAGAAGATCAATAAGGCAGTAGATGGACATTAATGGACACAGAGTAAATAACACTTATTAAGTCCAGGTTCTTTACTAATATCCTCACATTAAAAAAAAAATCTTGGGGCCGGCCCGGTGGTGCAAGCGGTTAAGTGCGCGCGCTCCGCTGCGGCGGCCCGGGGTTCGCTGGTTTGGATCCTGGGCGTGCACCAATGCACTGCTTGGCAAGCCATGCTGTGGCGCGCGTCCCATATAAAGTGGAGGAAGATGGGCACAGATGTTAGCCCAGGGCCGTCTTCCTCAGCAAAAAAAGAGGAGGATTGGCGGATGTTAGCACAGGGCTGATCTCCTCATTAAAAAAAAAAAAAAAAAATCTTAAATTAAGCATTGAACTGGGTATAACGCTTTACTCAAGAAAATGCAATAAAAAATTATATATAGTTTCTGCCCTCTAGAAAATTACAGCCTAAAATGTATATGATTGCTAAAAATAAGCACAGAAAGGACTGCAAGATAAAATAATACAAACATTAAATCTATTCCTGAATATAAAATCTTAAGATCCAACTACATATTCTCATTAGTTCCTAAGCCAAGCGCCAAACCACAGGTCTACCCAGTTTTCTAAGGAGGTATACACCGTTAATGTCCTGAATATTCACCTGGAAAACACCATTCCTAGCTTACAAAACACCAATTTAATGGTTTATATTTCAACAGGAATGATCACCTAAGGGTCACAGCATTGAATGGCGAAATAGTGATGGTTCAAGATGCATAATTATGTCTCTACTAGCATTCCTCTGGTCCTGCTATGCTCAGGGCTTACAAAAACTACTTAGAACAGGACACAGAAGGCAAGTTTGTCAAAGCTGCAGATTGCAGACAGCTAGACAACTAAAATGACTAATGTAAAATTAAAGTTCAAAAGTCTTAACGGGTTCAAACAAACCAGATGGAATTTTATATGGGAGTGGTAAAGCTTTCCATTTTAAGTTAAAAATCAAGTTACATGAGTACGTAATTAGAAGACCTGAATTGAAACACTTACTATAGGGCTGGCCCCGTGGCTTAGTGGTTAAGTGAGCGCTCTCGGCTGCTGGTGGCCCGGGTTTGGATCCCGGGCGCGTACCGACACACCACTTCTCTTGCCATGCTGAGGCCGCATCCCACATGCAGCAACTAGAAGGATGTGCAGCTATGGCATACAGCAATCTACTGGGGCTTTGGGGGGAAAATAAATAAATAAATAAAATCTTTAAAAAAAAAAAAAACATTGACTATAAAAAAGAATTTGAGGTTTGAGTCTAAGTTCAACATAAACCAATTTTTTGACCTTTTTGCTAAAAAGATGAAAACCAATCTTAGATTGGTTTTATTAACATCATAATATCTCAATCAAGGTAACTAATAATCCTACTGTGTTTTGAAATATACTGAACTCCCTGTAAAACACCAACACCCAGCAAAGCTGGTGTTGTCAAGATTCCCTTGCTGGGTGGGAAAGGTTAAAATGACCTGTTTATAACTTTCAGACTAATGTTTTCTGATTCTCTGACACTTACCAAATAATGAATACAGAATGTACTCTGTAGCAGCTGTTCTTGAAAGCAGCCTGATCGAATCTTATTTCTTAGCACTCTTTCAATGTACTTCTTTGTCTGAGTGTTTATGCTATAGATGATGAGAAGCATCGTCAGGTCAAAAACCTATTGGCAATAAATGTGCAACAACAGGAAAACAGTTTAATAAATCAGTACATTTACTACAATGAAACAGCAGCTCTCAACTTTTTCCCATTAAAACACTCCCACGGGAGGACCTACATTTTCACAAAACCCAGAAATATTTTTCAGAGAAATAAAGTACCACAATTATTAACCACTGGTATCTTTCAAGAAAGCACTGGAATACAAGTGAAAGTGAAATTATTACAGAAATAACTTTGAATATCTTCACATTTATTAAAGAAAAACATTAAATCACTTGCAAACTCCAGTATATATTTTCATTATGAGTAGTAAAATCACTTTGTGAAAAGTCGGAGAGATTGTAAATGCCTGTCAATATGGAAAAGGTTCAATAAATTATGATAGTCACTTTTGGAATATTGTAAAGCCATTAAAAAGAATCATCTAGACTATATTTTTTGACAAAGACATTCATGACATATTGTGAAGTAAAAAAAAAGCAACCTGCAAGACAAGACTCATAATAAGATCCTACTTTTATAAATGCAATAAGCAAGTACACATATGTGTAAGTATATGAGTGAGCATGCCTGTACTCACACACACATACAACTTGTATATGAATAGGGAAAAATCTGGAAGAATGATTATCCATGAAGAATGGTGAGGAGAAACTTTATTTTTTATATTTTTAGATTCCTTGTGGGTTTTTTTCTCCCCAACTATCTTCTATTACCCATGTTTTTTTAAAAAAGGACGAGCATGACAAAAAAGAAAAAAACAAATTACTTGGAACTCATACAACTCAACAGTAAAAAAACCAAACAATCCAATTAAAAAATGGGTAGAGGAACTCAATAGACATTTCTCCAAAGAAGACATACAGATGGCCAACAGGTACATGAAAAGATGCTCAACATCACTAATCATCAGGGAAATGCAAATCAAAACCACAATGAGATATCACCTCACACCTGTTAGAATGACTATTATCAAAAAGACAAGAAATTACAAGCGTTGGTGAGGATGTAGAGAAAAAGGAACCCTTGTGCATTGTCGGTGGGAACGTAAATTGGTGCAACCACTATGGAAAACAGTATGGAGGTTCCTCAAAAAATTAAAAATAGAACTACCATATGATCCAGCAATTCCATTTCTGGGTACTTATCTGAAGAAAATGAAAACACTAATTCGAAAAGATATCTGTACCCCATGTTCATTGCAGCATTATTTACAATAGCCATTGTATTTTTTACAATGTAAAAAAATAGCATTATTTTACAATAAATAATGGTTTATATTATTTACAATATAAACCATCTATATAGTATATACATATAATGGAATATTATTCAGCCATAAAAAAAGAATGAAGTCTTGCCATTTGCAACAACACGGATGGACCTTGAGGGCATTATGTTAAGTGAAATAAGTCAGACAGAGAAAGACAAATACCATGTGATCTCACTTATATGTGCAATCTAAAAAAATGAATAAACAAAAAACCAAGCTCATAAATACAGAGAACAGATTGCTGGTTGCCAGAGGTGGGGAGTATGGGTTGGGTGAAATGAGTGAAGGGAGTCAAAAGGTATAAATTTCCAGTTATAAAATACATAAGTCATGGGGATGTAACGTACAGCATGGTGACTATAGTTAATGATACTGTATTGCATATTTGAAAGTTGCTAAGAGAGTAGATCTTAAAAGTTCTCATCACCAGAAAAAAAAATTTTATACTTATGTGTGGTGACGGATGTTAACTAGACTTATTGTGGTGATCATTTCACAATATATACATGTATCGAATCACTACATTATACACCTGAAACTAATATAATGTTATATGTCAATTATACCTAAATAAAAAAAGATATTTTAAAGGTTAGATGTTGTAATTAAAACAAAAAACAAAAACAAATTACTTGGGACATCCCTTCATTGAAGGTTCCACTCATTTAGACACCAAAATTGAGAATCATTGTAACAGAAGAGAATACAGCTATTAAAAATGACAATACAGAAGCATGCAAAATATTTATGACATAATGTCAAAAGAACAAAATCAGAATACAAAATTATATTTATATAATGATTACAAAACTGTAAAAATAGGTATGCAGGTGGCCAAGGGTTATGCAAAATAAAAAGTTCTGTTAGGGTATTTTGATGTTTTCCCCCCATAAAAAATTGAGTTTTTCATTGTTTTATTCAGTATCATAAAAGCTTTTATAACAGTCACCCAACAATTGGATAATCCTAATGAAACTAACAAAAACCCCACAAAACAAAACAGATGCCAACTAAAGAAAAATCCTGAGAGGGAACCAATCAGTACACAAGAAACTCGGTCATCTGGCTTCTTGAGAAATATTTCCAGAATTAAGATAGATTTAGTATCATCACCTTGACAGTGGATGGACTGTTTATGATTCACTCTGGTCAGGTCTACACGGGCAAAGGAAAGTAAAACACGGAAGGACCTCATCTCGACAATTCTATCTGGCGGGAGGAAGGGCGATGAGACAGACACAGGGACCTGGCCCACGCCTGGGGACTCCAGCTTCACCTCCTCCTCCCCGGGGACTCGGCTCACTGTGCTTGTTTGGAGTGTGACTATTTCTCCTTATAGATATTTTAGACTTATTTTATTGCCAGAATGAGTAGGGAAGACCATCTGGCAAGTCACCCTCAGATCAGCTTCCCCAGACAGCTAATGTTTATTAGAGTAGAAGGCACAGAAGGGATGTCTGGAGGGAGTGAGAGAAAGAAAGCAGGAACAAAAACTAGCCAATATCACTAATTTTAAGCCTGCAATACTTAAAATTCACATTACATGAACATTACCTTGTGTTCAGACCCTGAGGCAGTGTTTTCAATTGCCTGGAAAAACAAGGGTCACAAAAATATTACAACACATAAGTAGAACACTTTTCACCTTATTCAGGATGCCCTGTACTCTTATTTGAGAACCAACCTGCCCACCTGGGCATCTAACCATCATCTATCATTTCTACTCAACTGACTTTTAAGAGTTTTATTTCAACCTGCCTTTACTTACACATCTGTCACTGACTGCCACCCATTTCCTCCTTAATGTTCAAAGTTCCAAAGATCTCACTCACCTTAATCCAGGCTTCTGAAATGGTTTTCTCATATCTAACAACTGACTTTATTACATCAAAGAGAAGAATAACACAGTCCTGACCGCTGTTTTCTTGATTTCCTGAAAAACTACAAAGTAGCAGAGGGAAAAAAAATTATTCTCCCACTTAATGGAGAGAAACCTGTAAGATCTGGGTTCTGTTTACTAGCCACGTGCCTTGGAACAAGTCACAGCTTCATGTGTAAAATGGCTAATAAACTTGTACTGCTGTATCTGAATAGCCAAGAGAATACACACATACACATACATACACACACATATATTCATATATACATATATATGATTTGAAAAACTATACAGTATTACATGAGTGTAACACTACTACCATTATTTGAGGTTGGTATTAAGATCTATTGTCCTGGCTTTAGGATAAATGTCACAAAACTTTTCTTGCCTATTTGAGAAAAAGGGTGGAAACTGTCTATGAGCTTATACCTTCTTCGTTCTTTATTTTTCAACCTGCTTTGGAAAGCCTGCAACTGTGATGGCGAAATACAATGCTGCAGATCCAACTGCTCCTGAAGCTCAGAAATTACCTGTGGAAAATATATATTAGCTATGTGTTCTGCTCATTCATAGTGGATAGGCACAGTCCATTCTCTCAACAGGAGAACCATAACAATCTCCTGAAAGACTGACTAAGAAGAATTATTAAATGTTAGACAAGGTATTTTGAAAAACAGAGTTGATCAAAATAGCTAATACAAGTATAGTACGTCACGCCCTTCAAAATTCCAGAATTCCTTGAGGTATGACACCAAAATAGCAAATATAACCTGCAGCAGCTTACACAGAACTATAAATCTGGCTAGTAGCTCCACTGTCTCTCCTGAATACTATCTGGATTAATCAGCATTATTAATTAGTTTGGAGAAAGACAAGAGCAATTGGAACCTATTAATTTAAATAATTTATCTTGATGCATTCTCCTCTAGGTTAGTCTTTTTTTAATTGCTGACTTTCACAAGGGCACCACTGCTATTCTCTGTACTCTCCAGGATCGAGCACCCTCTTGGTGTTTGTTGGGAAATAATAGAGTACCTCAAGTGCATCTGTGGTTGTTACAGAATGAAGAATGAACTTGATTATCACAGGTAAATGGTCCAATCTGACAGATGACAGCTTACCCATCATCAACTGGCGGACCTAAAGATAAAAAGCATGAAAACCTTAAATATTTTCATGTTAATACCTCAACCTAGTACTGACTTGTTAGGTAAAATTAGAAAAATTACTTCTCTCACTGAGTTTTCTCACTTGTAATTTAGGAAGAAAAATACCTTGTTTTATTTTTTTCCAAATTACAAGCTTTCCATTGTTAACACCACAGTGTTTTCAAAAACAGACAGGTGATAAATGTTAAAGCATTATTATCTTACATTTTGGAGCCTGATTTTTCCACTCACTAGAGGGAGGCATAAAAAACTGTTATTCCTATGGGAAGCAGTTTGTAAATACTCAGGCAATATAGAAGATTTCTACTAAAACTTATTGCTTAAAAACAGAGCAGCAAATCTATTACGGTATGGCATACGAAATTCATCAAAAAGAAAAAAAGAGATCAAATGTCATTCAATATTGTTTCAAAATGAAATTTTTATTACATAAGATGGCTCCAAGACAATGGCTGACCGACATTGGTTCTGGGAGGTGAGAAAGTTGGCTCTGTTTCTGGAAAGGAGAGTCCTTCCTACCTTAGACAGGAGCTTTGGATCAAGTCAGAGGCTGGAAAGGACGTCCAGGATAGGAACCATGAGTAAAGTATTCTCTGTTAGAAGGTCACTGTGAATGGTGGAAAAGAAAAAAGTTGTGCAACTTTTAACAGAGCTTGGCAGATAACGACTTGAAAATCACTCAGTATGGGAAGAGAGGATATACCTAGTTCCCTTTAAATTTCTGTTTATAGTATGTTTCATTGATAATTGTTTTGATTTAAAAAAAAATACACACTCATTATAAAAAATTCAAACAACAAACAGAGTAGAAACAAGAAGCCTTGCCTCGCCATCCCCTTACCTCCCACCAGGGGTAACCACTATTGAGTTTGGTTCATATCCTTCCTGGGAAAGGGAAAAGAAAACCTACAGCAATTACAATGAAGTGTGATAGGTATGACAGATGCATGTACAGGGTGCTACAGGAGCACAGAGTAGAGAAGGACAGTGATGAATTCTAAGAGAAGGCTATACAAAAGGACAAGCTGGAATTAAGCATGCAAAGTGGATGGTACAGTGCTACACCCAGAGGGAGCGTCCTGCCCAAAAGCACAAATGCAACAAATCACTGGACATTTTTGGAGGTAGCTTTGCAGACAACTATAGAAAAGGAAGTATTACAACTGAATTTTTTTAAACTACTTCTAGGATAAGCAAGAAGTTGCATTAAAACAGAAACATTATTACATAGGGATACTATTCTCCCCTTAACTACTGCCCTACCAATTACTATTTTTCACGTAAATGATAGTAAGCAGTGGGTCTCAGAAATGGGTCTGATGCTGATGCAGCTATGTGCATTAGAATGACTCTTTTAGAGACCAAAAAATATAGGTGTTTAACAAGCTCCAAAAATGATTTGGATGTGCAGTCATGACGGAGGACCCCTTGGGTAGAGGAAATGCTAAGGAAACAAAGGGATCATGTTTCAGTCTCCACAGACCAAATTTATATACCTAATCCTAAGCCAGACTTCATATTCGCAATAGCTATACCATTTAAAAGAAAGTAGACAGGTCTACTCAAATATATACTGATTATTAGAAAAACAAGTCAAATCCCATACCCTACTCATGGAAGGTAGGTGTCATCCTCTTTTATATAAAAAGGAACACATTATTACTACTCTTTTCATACTGCAGTGATAAGGCTCCCAGAGTGGAGCCTTGCTTTGGATGGTGACAAGGTGCTTACCCACCTGAGTTCTTTCCCCACATCAGCATGCTGGGAATCCCCCAGGATCTCAGGTAGGCTGGTGACGAAGTCATGCTGCAGGTACAGGGGAGCAATACTGATCAGCTGCATGATCTTGGTGGTGAGATCCTGCAGTGGAGGAGACTATTAGAATTGTAGCACATTATCCAGAATAGAGAAAGACTTTCTACTCACAAAATGGAGAGCTAGAATTATTTCATGTACAACATGACAACTACACACACTTAAGCTCAAAGCCTAAATTCAGAGGTAAATGGCCCAGAAATTTTCATACATGTGATGGTATATAGGAAAAAAAAAGGCAGGGTGGATGGTAGGTTATCTAATAGCTCTGTTATATACTTTATTTCATTTAATCTTCACAACTCTATGAAGTTTGTGTGACAATTTCCATTTTTAAAATGTGAGGATATGTGTTGCTCAAGGACACACAATAAGTGGCAGACTCAAAATTCCAGCCCAGGGAGACTCCAAAACTTATGTTCTTCCACATAAAGATTTGGCCCTGGAATGTCTGACAAAAATTAGTAGCATGAATTAAAGAACTCTGAAAAGAAATGGTTCTTAAGCACCAGGCTCAAAGCAGATTCAATCTTCCCAAGGTGCTTAATAACAAATCACATAATTGCAAAAACTTCCTGAAATTTTCCTCAATATGTAATCAAATTAAAATATTTGCAGTGAAATAGGATGGCTTGGGATTTCATCACTTTTTTTTTTAATTTTTTGTTTATTGCAGTAACATTG